TTTTCCGTCCAATTGGGTCCTTATTTGAGAATTTCATGGAGTTCGGGACCTTCATTGAGTGCAATCAAAGTTTGGGTCCGAAATTGCGAATTTGGTGTAAGTTCGGATCCTTATGTCATATTTTTGCCTTAATTTACACATTGAATCCAAACGGTATCACAATGCTCAGTCAGCAAAGGGGTTAATTTGCTTCAATCATGAGGTTAGAGGGCTTATCTGCTTTTTAGTTTAGGGGCTGGTCAGTTGTTTTTGAAAACGTTGAGGGGCTTAAGAACTGTTTTTGCCAAAATAAAAGAAGTAACATGACGTCAATGCCCATAAATGTCCAATTGCCCAAATTAGATATACGAATATAACCCCAAACACTGGCATATTTATTTTACCGAGCGAGATCAAGGAATCGTCGAACAGCTCAAACCCTAGCCCTGTCTCGTCTCTCCTCTCTCCGTTGCCATCGAACCACCGTCACCGTAATCACGTCGGCGATCGCCATAACTGCTGCATATTCACTATTTCCATTCTGATCGTCGTCTCGACGGATGAATCTTGCTGGCACAGCTCCCTCTATTGAGCATGATAGACTGATATATTCCTTCCTTTAAGATTCTGACTGTTAATCCGTTAAATCGCATCCAACACAGGCTTCTTTTCACAAATCTGAATCTGAATCTCCTAATATCTTGATGGATCTTTGGTTCGATGATCTCGTAGATCTGGCTGGATCCTCGTTCGATGATTTAATCGTTTGTGGATCAAGTGAGCACGACGGCGAAGCATACGCACTCGATCTGCATCGGCCGTAGTAGCAGGGAATCGTAGATAGAGGTAAACTATTTGGATTTTTATGATGCTGAAAATTTCATCTGAGTTAGGGTTAGAATTATGGTCTTCCTTGCTGCTAGAATCCAGAGGAGAGATATATGAAAATTGAGCTCTTAATAACAGGCTTGTTGGATGTTGTTTTTGTTCTTAGTTATGATTTTGTTTTCCTCTTCCGTCGTCCGGTGGATCTGATCGGGCAAAGATTGTGTCTCCTATTTTCATAAGAAATATAAAACCATCGTTATTCACCTCCTAGTCTGCTTTATCTACTTCTTTGTTGGCTTTAAATTTCCCTAGTCTAACTGCAAATGTTCATCTTGAATTATAATTACGTAACTTCTATGTTTGGTTCAGTATTAAAGAACATAAAAATTCATGATGCAAATGGTAATATTATTGGTTCTTTAGTTGAGTTTTCTGTTTATTTCCTTTATAACATCCTTTGTAATTCCCACTGAGAGCTGAGAGAACATCTTTTTTTTTTTTTGAAACTATCATTAATTATGTACCATAGTTGGCTATGCCATGCAATAGGTCTGAAAGGTTGAGGATTCACCGTAGTAAATTGGACTCTTTGGTGGATGCATCTAAAGTTCAGGGTTTCCATGCTGAAGGTTAGTATGGACTATGGAGCATAGGAAGCTGTAACCTTTAATTCCTATCATATTTCATTTGCACAATATTATTTGGAAATTTTGTTGAAAGTCTCTGGGAGGTTTTGGGAAATGTGTTGACATTCGTGTCCTGTTTGGTGGCTAATTAGCTGCTTGCAATTGATTGTTTGTGGAATAACTTCTAGCATTTTGTGACAGGAATCGTAGCTGAAGACTTTTAGCTAGAAATGCGTCAAGTACAGGTTAATCTTGAAGCGAATGTAGAGAGAAATCATGCAAGACTGGTGTTGGTGAAACTTCCAAATGTACTGAAAAAACTATACATTTGAAAGATGATCATTACAAACTCCTCCAGGTATGTCTTTTCACATTTCAATTTATATACTTGCAGACCTTTGTGAACCTGTATGTAATTATCCATGGAGTAGAAAACTAGAGTAATATTTAACTCTGTTCTGGAAATGTAAAGTAACAAATAGATAGTATTTTGGTTTATAATTCTAAATGCTTCATCCCTTGATGATCTTGTTTTAAAGGGTGATTAATTGTCCAAAGTAGTTTTTGAATTTAGTGAACTGAAAAGAAGAGATAGACAAGAGGCTGGCTTTTGCTGATTAGGACAACAACTTAGAAGTAAGCTTTGGGTGTTAAAGACCAACCAAAGAAAAATA